AATACACAGCAATTTGAATAGAATAAGATATAAAAGTGCTAGTAGTGGTAGCCAACATACTGACTAGTTTTAATTGGGTTCGAGATTACTCTTTTGCATTGTGTGTGTACTCTTGTACATCGATTTGAGACAAAAATAGACAAATGGGGTGCGGTTGCAGCTGAAATTGACATCTAGATGTTGGCATCTGTACATTATACACACATGGGCAATCGCAGCGTTCGTTGCCTGCTGGATTGGCATCCCGAATTCAAGTCTGAATAACAATCGTCGAACAAGTACATTGTACAATAGTCGGTGCCATTCATATATTTGCATATGTTATACGGTTCAGTGACCTAGTGATTCCAACCGTTTCCCCAGAGGTGTTACTGAACGCTAGAGGAAATAAGCTATTAATGCACATTGAGTAAAATCAAACGCTCAAAATAGGTTCGATAAACATTGAATTCAGAATTCTATCTTCATCGGCTGTCGTCTCGTCTCGTTTCGTTTTCTGTCGGTGCATTGAATCGATGGTTCGGGTCTTGCGACGACTTACCTAACTCAACGTCCCTGACAAGGTTCTTGATTTCTCTGATAAGGATGCCTAAAGGCTGGGGGAACAGTAGGCCGTCGTGAAACACAGCGGAAGAGGGAGTGTCTCGGGGATAAGGGTGGATTCGGATCACCAGAGCCGGTATGACCGACTACCGATTGTTGACCCCCTTTTGTCGACCATCGATCTTAGAAAGAAGGGCCAGAAAGAAAACTGGTGTTAGCGCTGCACTGCTTCAGGAGGGATACAGGCTACCGCCCCCGTCCTCTTTACCCTCCCATATACCCAACATAATCATTTACACCGCTCTCCACGGCTAGCTGTTCGGCGACCGGAATGACGCGATTACAACGAGAATGAATCCGGTCTCTGCAACTTAACTGATTTTATTCTACCCAACTTTTCCCACAAGGTTCATACCATGAATGAAGCCCCACAAACTCGAATGGGAGGCACTTGGCGACCCTCTTCACAGCTGGCCACTATTGTCAGCTGGCAGCATATTCGGTGTCGCTCTACTTTTTCGGTTGCGTTTCTATCGCGGCCAAGTCAAAAGCAAAAAACGAGTTGTCGTCGATCCCGTGAAGCAGGCCCGACATATTTTCGGCCGCAGTTTTCGCACGGTTCTCACACATCACTGCGCAGTAAAAAGAAAAACGACGCTGGGGGGCAGCGAAGCCAATGGCCAGGACCGCACAAGAGGCAGCTCCTCAGTCAGCTGAGAATAAACTGAGAGAATCGCATTAGTTGGTAGCCAAGTGAATTGCTTGTCCTGCTCGATTTTTTTTTGTCACCCTCCTGTATTTTTCCGATACCAACAGAAAGGGTAGATATTCAACCAACCACTTCTTGATAATTTTTCGGATATTTTAACAAACTTCAACTATTTTTTGACTGTTCTAGATGCGTAGCGGCCCCCGTAACTGTTAGTGCTGCTGCTACTGCTAAGGCACGCACGGTTGTGCAAGCGTATCTACGTATACTTAATGCACCTGCTTGTGCCGTTCCGTGAAGTGAGGTACAAGCAGGTGCATTAAGTATACGTAGATACAGGTCGCAGAACTCAAATCGAAGACATGAGAGAGGAAGAAGAAATGCAAAATAGGAATTCATTCAGGAAAACTTCGGATACTAACAGCAATATTTTCGAGTCGTAATTTATCCTAGAGAAAGATTTATAACAGAGCATATCAGATCTTTGCTAAGGTCCATTCTTAACGTGACCGTGACGTACCGCATACAGCGCCCGGACTTGTACACAGAACGTACCGCTTCAATCCTATAATTATATTGAATCGTGTAAAATGTACAGCTATCCGTTTTTTTTTTCCCTGTATAAAAAATTTCCCTGTATCTAACATAGCAATGTTTATTCTCGACTTTCGTGTGACTTTTCTCAAAAATTACAACGGTCCGGTCCTGTGGACTACCCACTCTTTTCCTAACCCGCTTTCAGTTCAAAGCCAGAAACAACTCAAAATCGGGTTTGTGTAGAGAAAGCATGATTTCTGAAAATGGTGTGAATAAACTAATCTACTATTGGTTTAAGCTGATGTCGAAGGTGTTCTTCGTACTTTTTTTGGCCCCAAATAAATACTAATGAAACCGTTACTCGCATCTAGTGGCCAGTTGACGTCTATGGGTTTCTCTGGTTTTTTTCATTAATGGATTTATAGTAACCACATCCCAAGGCTTCTATGGGTAAACATTTATTTACATGGAGTCGTTGCAAAGTCCAGGAAGACTCACAGATAGCAAATAAATACAATAAAATAACTCACAATCGACGCTTTGCAATGTAAATTCCCCTTCGGCGGTAGACCTATCTACGCCATAAGCTCTCTTTTGGATAATATTCTAGTATATATTTATTTAATTGTTATTTAATAACAATAATAGCCATAAATCATAAATAGTAATACTAATACCTCCGAATAGATTCAATACAATAGCTCCGAATTCGTTCAATATACAGGCTAAGAGTGAACAACCGCCGATTGAAGACAAAAATACGCAATGCCAAAATATATATATATATATATATATATATACTGCATGATTCAGCCACGCCATCGATTTCGAAGTCTCAATAATAGCCAGTTTGATCCGACCATTTTTTAATGTACTCCCCCCTCCCCCCCCCCCTGGTTTTCGTTTATTATTCCTAAATCTGCGTTGTTAATAAATGCACATACTCTGACTTCGTTTACCAGATTGACTTCGAAAAGAGACTTCGACTGGTATTTCGGATTGGTTTTATCTTACGAAGCAGGGGCTCTGGTTAAAATAGTACTATGTGTATGTAACAAATGGCCTACTATTAATGCTTTTGGGAAACTGCTATCTATTTACATGCGCATCTACCGTCCAGTAGCTTAAGGTCCAAACACAACAAAAACTTCTCTGTCAGACTTATGCTAAACCCTGTGCTGTTTCACAGAGAAATACTACCAGTATATAAACTGCAGTCGAGCATATTATAAACGTCGCTCCAGATTCCAATGACTCATGACTGTTCGCCTTTATAGTGGTTTTTAAATAGAGTGCGATACACAAAGGATCGCAATTTGTCAGCAATGAACGTACTCGTTCATTACTTCGAAAAATTGGTATATAATAGCGATTTAAGAATAGTATTTCTATATCATCATCATCATCATCATCATTGTACATTATTAGGAAAATTACGCAATTAGGAATAATACGCAGTTACCAACTGCGCTGGTCCAAACTGGATAAAAATTACATATTTATGTGTTTGTAGCTCCGCATCCCTTTCCCACGTGCAGATCGCATGCGATATATTAGTCTATACGACGACCACATCTTTAGACACAAATAGCAGAAGTCTACGTGTCTAGAAATGGTGGTACAATAGTAGACAACGATTACATACACGGTTCTACGCACTTACCGGCATAACTGGTGCTTATATTACCACATTGTTTTCGACCACTTCTCTATTTCCTTTCAGACAAAGAAGTGAGAATGTCACAGAAGCAGGGTGCTATATGAGCGGTATATATACAATATATAAAGCCAAAAAATTAGTTCACTGATGATGATTGTAGCTAGCTGCTAATAAACGATATATGTAAGCGTGGAAGCGAAGACGTCAAAGAAACAACGGGCCGCCCACTCTTTCCCATGCAGTAAATGAACTTTTCTGTTGAATAGGAGCTGATCTGCCTTACGTCTGGCACATCCAGTAGAACCCTAATCAGGCGAAGTGGATGAGCCGATCGTTTCCAGTTCATCGACTTTGCGATTTTGATCCTGTTTGTTGTCCCAAGTGCAGCCCTGGCCAACTACTTCAGTTCATTGAAGATCCCAAAAGAAGGTAGAAAGTTCTCTTCGTTTGTTTCTGCACTCTAATTTCACAAGGAAAGAGTTACCAGCCATTCGAAGTATTGGTCTGTAACTTGCGAGGCCACCGGGCCGGAACTCATGGGAAGCGCGCACTGCACGACGATGCCCACCGTTGCCGTTACCATTCTCAAAACCTTTATTATAACCTGTGTGTCTGTGGGGGGGGGGGGGGGGCTGCAAAAAACGTTATTAGGGTACTAACTGTACACATAATAGATGAAGTCGGCTTAATTTTTATGTTATAAAACGAAGATTTTCGCAGTGCACGACAAATATTTAGGTGGTATGCTTTATTAGTAAACATATTGTAACACTGCATAAGGCTATAGTATGAATCAAGTACGTTCAAAGTTTCGTGACCGTGCTCCTATTAGAACGAATAGCGAGTATGTGCAATAGCTTTTCTTCCTCTGTGTTGCCCGCTGCGGATGGAAAGTGGATAGTTCCGCCCATGTTAGTCAGCATCTCTGTATTTGTGTTCATGAACTTGTTCGTCAACTAAGAAAGTATTTGCATCTTGAGGACAAGTTCACGAACAAACAAATACAGAGGAGCTGACTAGCTTAATTTCGAATGGTCGGAACCATCCACGTTCCTATCACAGAATTCGCTTTAACGCCGTTTCTGAGTCAAAACGAACCGGAGTGATGATAAAGCAGAAAATATAAATGCCGAATATTCGAAATAAAGCAACGTACGCAAAAGAACTAGAACAGCTATAGATGTTTCTCCTTGTTTTAAATATAGAAAGCTATTATCATAGCCGTCTAAGACTAGAGACAACCAAAATTGGACTATGAGAATAGTTTAGATATCATACTTACCGGATTTGCTGATAATCAACTCAAATTTAACACTAAAAATATTATAGTAAATGTATATATACATTTAATATATATATATATATATATATATATATTTTTTTTTTTTTACTATACAAGAGCATTACATAAAGATACGGCTTTCATTATTGATTTGCTGCAAATAACGTATTTGTGACATCCATAGCATTTGTTAAAATCGAGAAGACTTACCTTTAGATTCTAACAATTGCGTGTGCGTGTAGTATAGACTGCGAATGTTACAAATATGACATTGATTTGAACTACAACAACAACTTGATTTTATTCTGGAATTTACGAAGGAAGGTCGTAACTTCTACGAATTGCTTTTGGTCAAACAACGATGCTTTTTTTTTTTTAGACATTTCTACCAGTCACGTGATTAACAATTTCTCCCATTCAGTTGTCATCTGTACCTTATTGTCATCTCAGCAATTTTTAAAAATGGCATTATTCAATTCTGGAGGCAAATCACAGTCGGCAAACAACGGCATAAACAGGGCGATGTGTTTCGGTTCAGCATAAGTTAAGGCTAGCATTATTTCTTCAGGAGTGGCTGATTGCCTAAGCTTTTTAACTGTATCGACGAACTCGTTTACGTACTTCTTCATAGCAGTTACTTTGTCCATTGATCCGAGCGCGTTCCATGATTCAAATTTAGCCCGGGCTACCACATCAAAAAAATGCGGTCTGCTACCTCTGCACGGACCTACAGTCGCCTGTTTATAATACGAATAAAACGCCAGTTGCAGGGTGTACGGTGGCCTGAAGCTGCCATTCTTTGGCAGCCTTCGAATAATCTGTACTGCGGCGTCAAACTGATCTTCAATTGATATTTCACCTGTAACAAGTTACGTATAGTGGAAAACACCACACACACGAATACGTCGGCAATGGCTTTAGAGTGTTCTTGTTTTTGTACATTTTAAGCTACAATCACCGCCGCACGCAGATAAACATTATCTGCGGTATGGGAACTAGCAGGCGTAGATTTCATAAAAAAAAAAAAATGCGTACGACAAAGAACGCTTAACAAATGAACATAACGTGTTGACTAGGCTGTACGACTAAGTTTATTATGATTTACATGTTATAAAAACAGCAAACCGCATCCCGTATGCAATTTCACCATGAAAAAACAACTACAAAGATTTGAACTTTGATCTCTCGGGGGCGGCAAATAAAATGTTTGCCTCTCGTATTTTCTTGTTATAATCTGATTTCTTACAATAACATCGACATATCAATATAGAAGCTATATGTAGCATACTTCACCTTATATAGGTCCATACCTGACATAACTGTGGTGAACGTAACAGGCGCTGTCTTCAGTTAAATGCTGATGACCCGTTGAATAGCCTGGTTCTCCGCGACTGCTGACTTTTTGCAGTGCAAAATATTTATACTCACAGATTTTTTTCCCACTTTCGACAAATCGATGCTCACAGTAGAGGGGTTTCATGCATCAAGTGCACTCATTTCGCCCCTATAATTTGAAATACCGTCTCAGCCTAAATCGATTCGATAACGGAAGGTCAGCTTGTTTTTTTTTTTTTGCCTAATGCTCTAATTCCCTTACAAAAGTCAACAGCGTCTAACCTCGTTAACGTTACCTAATAATCATTACTTCAAGAATAGTTTCCGCTTCCAGCAGAGTATTTTTATCTCCTTAAAACAGTTAGTTGTCCTTAGCTTCTATTTGGTTGTTAATATATAACGAATATAGAATCTTTTTTAGCCGCTTGTTATATTTGTCGTGGGAATATGGATTATCAATTCAGAAACTAAAGGACAAATAATTTTCGCACGAACTGTCGCTGCAGCTCATAGTAGCCAGTTAGCGTAATTATATAGCGTTTGACCCATCTATCTAAATATAATTCGTGCAGGGAGCATTATGACAGGTGTTACATGATGATGTATTTAAACAACGCAAAAATTCAAAGGTATAAATGTTCATTTATATTTATTTTTTGGGAATTTCGGCCCAGTTATAATCATGATGATGATGATGCCAGCGCACAAAAGCTAACGAGTTTTTAAGAATCGATTAGATGTACCTCGTTTTTTGACCCTGTTTTCTCCGCCTTTCGAGCGATTGGGCTTGATTTCTAGCTTAGAATTATGCTGCCTTCCTAGGGTCAACTTTAAAAGTTAACTTTACTAATACTTCGTGATGTACTCGATACACTATTGGTCTTCGATTTTCAAAATGATCTAGTAAAACTTCGTTAATCGAACCTGCAGCTTTATTGTAAATACGTCTTATTTAGAGGGTCAGTTTATTCCAATCTCTTCTAGGAATACGGCTACGTCAAACAGAGAGAATATTGAATGTCCTGAAGGCGTACATGCGACACTCGACCGTACCACGCGTACTCCTCAATACACGCGTTTGGCTTATGTTAATTTGTAGCGTATGCCTGATCTGCGCTGTGCTTCGAATTGTAAACTTGTGCTTATTTGACTATGTGCTACGCCTTCGCGAAGCCTACTGTCTTTAACAAAGAGGAAATATGGAGAGATACCTCGATCTTTCACAAATTGTTATTTTTAGCACCACCGCTTACCACCGTCCAATGGATGGCGCAAGTCCATTGTGAAGGGTGCGGTTAGCGTAGCAGAAGGAAGAGAGAAAAAATAATAGGCGAAGTATTGGATGAACAACTCGGCGGGCCATGAGCTCCCTGTGGTTTGTTTTGGCTTGCTAGCGATGTTGCGCTATATAGTTCTTTGCCGTAGTTGTTCTTTCCTTTGACGTAGTTTTTAAAACTACGTCAAACTACAAGTCCTCGTGACACTGCGACGTAACATTCATAAGCAAAAGCTTATCTGAAACTTATAATCTCAAACGAGCACGCACAAGAACTATCCAGTCAGACTGGCCACTGCTAATATGAAATCTCGGGATTACATAGTAACAATACGAATAATAAGACCACCAATTAAGACACGATGTGCATCCGTGGCCTGCACGATTCCCCATAGATAAAGCTTATGCTGTCTTTGAGGCAGATTCAGGTCAGGACGATGTCTTTTCTATTACAGTTGGCCTGACAACGAGATGTTGAGGCTAACGTTTTTACAGCCGGCAATGGTGCCCACTAACAATTGGAACTATGATAGCCTTCACCAGTACACGCAGTCCGCGCACAAAGGGAAAACAACTTTTCTATCGCAGTTGTCCCAATTCATCACTTCGCTCGTTAGACGTCAGGGTGCGTTCTGTCGCACAAGTTGCTAGGAATGGTGATGGCGGCGATGCTATCAGCTATTTGGTCGCGAGTTTGGTTGTGTGCCACAACTAGACGCCGTCACTCTGTTCTTCTTTACTAGTCACAGCGGCCCGTCGAAAGCCTTCGACGTGGAGCAAGCTCTGCATGCCCAGATCCTAACTTGTTTCAGGCTCGGCTACTAAGTCCCAGCTTGGAGACTCTTCTTAGTGCGCGTACGTTATGCAGCTAGCCAGCGAAGTCATCATCTCTGATCTAATTCCGGCGTATAGTGATGTAGGCCGAGAGGGAGTTGCACGAGATTGTGGCCACAGCTGGAAATGCGTTATACAGCCAGGCAGGCCGGACAGCGGCCGACGCAGGCAGGCAGGAGGCTCGTTTTCGCCACAGCCTGCGCACTATCAGCCTGATCTTACATTGTTTGCGCACTGATTTCTCCGACACTACCAACATCAGTCTCTAGTACAGTTGCTACCTCATAGCCTATTTGACACACCTCAACCAGCTCACGTAACCCAAAACGCTGATGGACGTAAGTTTTCAATTGCTTCCTGTAAAATTCGCTTCCAATATACAGCCGTTTTTTTTTGGGGGGTACGACTACTATCTACTACCGGTGAAATTAAACCAAATATCTTAATGCATTATCTGTACTAACAAAAACTTTTAGGTTAAATTTTGGATCGGCGAATTTTACTTCTGTGAGTTGTGCAGCATTTATATACATTTAAATAAAGCGCATAATTAAGATTTTCTTCTTTCAGATCGCATTTGTATCAGGCGAATCATGTTGTGTAATGGATACAAATATCTGAGTCACTGCAATAACGACATTAATTCGAATTCAGTTGTAAATGTCCTCCAGAGGAATCACAGTAATTAATGTCAAATAGTTTTAACATGTTCGTTTCTAACGATTATATATATATATATATATATATATAATAACAAGTAGATTAGCTGCAGCCATCATATGTAGCTGTTCAATGACAATGAGGTGTTATACAATGCTTCAGATACATGTTAACTAGAAGAGAGAAGTTAATCTCAACTTGATATAATATTGTCTTTTAAACGAATTGCCAGCTCGCATATGTACGAAAGATCAAGGTTTTTGACGACCTAAGTTTTGCACAGATATGTCCGTCATTTTGATATGTGCTGTTGGTCATTGGAGCTGCCGTAAAGCTTTGCTCGCCACGTAGCGTTCAGTAGTACGTTATGAATATTTGCAAATACAGGTATAGCCGTCGCGTATTTGCGGCGATGGGTGACACGTGCAAGAATGATGCTATCTCCAAGAGCAACAGACCACCAGAAGATAAAAATTCATCTGTGAATGGGGGCTCCACCAACGGCGTCAATAGTGGTTAGAAGTGGGCCCCATAAGGTCAAACGCTGCGACGTAACGCACAGTTTACTATGTACGTCTTGCGAATTAATTTTACCTAAGATCGCTTGAACGGCAAACAGCATATCCGAATGTAAATACCTACGTCACTGATCGCCTACGATCTGAATTCTCCTTTCGGCGTACTTCATTATGTGATTCATGGAATCAGTCAGTACAACTTTTTTTTCTGCTTATCACTGTATTTGTCTGGCATAGCTATTCCCTTATAAGACCAGTTACGTATCTGTCAAAGAACGTTTGCGCTATATGAACGTAGCAGACAAAGGGTCATTCAAAAGGAAGCGATTGATAAACAAACATGAGGTTTTTTTTACCCTTGAAAATAGAGCAGCACGAATTTGAGTAAATCTAACTGCCTATGTGCCATAACATATGAAACTTTGGCGTGCCCGCGAGTTTTCATTGTTAGTCACGCCTGACAGTCCTAAGGATACAAGCTTTCTCTTAGCGACCACAACCAGCCCGAGTTGCTTACCCAGGAACTATGCTTGATTACTCCATCCAACAAGAAACTTTCGAAGCTCACACAGAAACCGTTGTATATCAAAATTGCTTTGTCCAGATTAAGAAAGGTAATGACCGGCTGGTGTTAATGACGGAAGCAAGTTTTACACAGCGACGATTGCCAATCACATTTTGTTATTATAGGTACCCGCCTCACAGACACATGACGATTTTCTATAAACGTCACTCACATATGTCTTGCAGTCCCGTAATGATACAGACGACAGAGTTGTACCAGTTGTGTTGTGATAGAAATGATCTCTATTTATCACACGCGCCTCCCCCTGGCTGCCTTTTTTTGCTATCTATACTCGGAACGGGTGCAACTACCCCCACGAGCGTAATGCAACGGCTGTTGTCATTGCCACTATTACGGTTGTTACTACTGTACAAGATATTGCCAGACAGTTGTTCTTGGTCTTGACAACCATACGTTGCTTACATTTCTACTCGAAATAGGCTTCTTCTTTTCGTTCGTTCTATACAGCCCCTACGGCTCGGCCCGTGTCTCCTTTTTGCGATCTTCCCGTTTCGTCCGCTGGCGTCGTTTCATTGTGCTTGCAGTGCCAGACGTCGCCATAGTCTCTGCAGCTGCTTTCCTTGTCGTCGCTATGCTCCTAAATTTGATGGCTCCTACATTCGTCGAAAATGGCAGTACAAGCAGGAGCAGGGCGGTAGTCGGTGTTGGCAGCGCCGGCAGAATGTCGAAAACGGAAAGCGTACTAGTAGTTCCACGTTTTTTAGTTGTCCCTAACTCGTCCGACTTTTATCAGTACAAAGCGACTGAACAGCAACCGACTGAAATGCTTCATTTTCGATCTGATCCTTTCTGAGCTAGTTGAATGATTCTGTCATCCGCTCATTAGTGGGCGAATATCTTTTTGTCGAGGCTTTAACTTCAAAGGGAACATCGGCTGGGCGTATAGCTTTCGAGTGGTGGTCGTGAACATCGGGGCAATTTAGGCTTAAGCGTTACCACTAGCAGACAGAAAGTATCGCAGGTATCCGCCCGATGGTTGTCTCACTGTAGGTAGTGAAGGATCACTAAGTACTACACCGCCGTGAACTTCTGTGTACCGTCGCTGTAAGGAAGGTGGCATCGATAGCCCATTTTCATATAGAGCTGAACAGCAACGCTTCTGATTGTTGTGACCGAATGATTTAGCGACCGAAATGCGCTCGTGTTGAGGACGAACCAGCCTATAATAGTACTCCTCTATCAAATAGCCAGGAGGTTACGAAAGAGCTGAAAGCTGACAGCTGGGGGACGTTACGAGATAAGTTTGGGAAGGATGGCGACGTCACCGTATTTGTGCAAATATGAGCGATTGTAATGTTGGAATGGCTATTCTAAAATCATTATTCTCGTTTGTTGCTCGATTCGTACTTGCTTTTAATCTCGTTAAAGATTTGCTGTTTTCGTGGTTCCACGAAGCTTATCAGAGATGCACCGGTCATCCAGCATTAGCATAACGGATCAAGGTGAGGCACAGCAGAAGAAGTTGCTGCACC